GTCAAAAGAGGTTTCAGGGGCCAGGCATGGTGGCACACACCTGTCATCCCAGTAGTCAGGAGGCTGAGGAAGGAGGACCATTATGAGTTCAAGATCAGCCTGGGCTTTGGCCACCCTGACCTACATAGCAAGACCCTGTCTTAAAAAGTCAAAATAAAATAAAGAAATAGATTTCAGGTCAGGTATCCTAACTCCTTAGGAAGCTGAATCAGGAAGATTGATTGAACCCAGAAGTTTGAGGCCAGTCTGGCCAATATACAAGACTTTGTGTTTCAAAACTAAACGGAACTGGGCATGGTGGTGCACCCTGGAATCCCAACACCGGGGAGGCAGAGGCAGGAGGAGGATCGCCTTGAGTTTGAGGCCAGCCCAGGCTACGTAGTGAGCAAAAAGCCAGGTGCAACTACACAGCAAGACACAGTCTCAAAAATAAACAAATAAATGTAAAACTTAAAGCAGAAGGATAGTGATCCTATATGGTAGGTCTGAGATACAAGAAAGAACAGACCAGCAAAGAAAGGGCTAAATATGAGAACAACTGCAAATAAACTTTCACATTACAAGATGACAACAGCCAAAAAAAAGATGACAACAGCAATACCTAGACAATAGTAATAATACAGGCTGTGGTGCTAGCTCAGCAGTCTAAGTACCTGCCAAGGCAAGCTCAAGGATCCAGGGGCCCAGGTTCAATCTCCGGTACCCCGTGTTGTGCTGGCCTGGCCCAGGGCACACATATGCCTAAAATCCCAGCACTGGGAAGGCTAAGACAGGAGGATCACTACCAGTCAACTCGGAGCTGCATAGCTAGACCCTGTACCAAATAAACAAACAAACAAATGTTTTTTTCTAAAATAAGAAAAGGGGCCTGGCAATGTAGCTTGGTGGCTGAGCATTTTCCAAGCACCGACGAAGCCCTGGGCTTGGTTCTCAGCACCATAAAAAATAAGAAACAACAGGAAAGGAAATAAGCCAAAAATTGGTTAGAAAGCCAGGGGGCCAGGGAGATGGCTCAGTAGAACAAGCACTTGCCTGGAAAGCGCAAGGGCCTGAGTTCAATCCCCAGCTCTGCATAAAAAAAAAAAAAAAAGAAAGCCATAAAAAGATGGCAGACTTACACCCAAATATATTGGAAGTGACTGAAGCAACACAGACGCCATGAATATTTTAAAGAGCATCTTTCCCCAAAGCCCATTGGCTCCTCCCACAAGAGACAAAGCAGGAACCACTGCCTGATGATGCCAGTGCCCATTGTGATCTCGGCTGCTCCTTGACATCACAAGGTGTCCCTCCCCTCTGAGCCAAGGGGGTGCGGCATACTTTCCCAGCTCCCAGTGTGGCTGCTGTGGATTCTGATCTGCCTCGCACACGACTTGCGAACTCTGTCCTCCCATAAGTGTCTGACAGAGCAACAGGGTTCCAAGGGCCACTGCTGGGCAGAGGACAGTTCCATCTTCCTAGCAAAGCACTCTACTGGGAAGTACCTTTCCTTTAGACTCTGGACACTGGGATACTCAACTTCAAGAACGTCTCATGGATCCAGAGGTCTTAGAGATCTGTCCTTACAATCCTCACCACCGAATTCCACTCAGCAGACTCCAGTACCACCTGGCATCGTGCAAGAGAAAGAATCCCAAGCAAGCTAAAAAGATGGCCAGCTGCAAATACAATGCCTGCCATGTAGTGCCCATCAAGAAGCTGCAGGAGCACGAGGCCGCCTGTGTCAACAGAAGCCCAGTGGAGGAGGAGGGCAGCACAAGCCCCATGGAGGCTACCCTTCCAAGCTTGGAGCAGAGGGCTGAAGCCCCGCCGGCCTCGCTCTCCCTTCCTACCTCTGATATCTGGAATGTTGATGACGCTGATAGCCACCCTAAGTTTGTCCTTAAGACTTTCGTTCCCCAAAAGCTTGTTTGTGAAAGTGACGCAGGAGAATCGGAGAGAGAGGAGACCACCCCCTAGAAGATCTTCAGACCAGGGATGAGGGTCTCACAAAGGCACGGAAAGATAATCTGCTCGTCAGAATAAAAGGCATATGAAACCAGCTACCCTAGCGTGCCTTTTTCCTACCACGTAGTAGAATGGTAAATATAAAAAACCTTACGAATAGCCTTGGTAAGAATGTAAACCGGTTCAACCTCTGTGGAGGGTGGTTTGACAACAGCTATACATTAAGCTTTCACTGAGCAATTCCACTTCTAGGTCTTTATTCTATAAATATACGCACACTGAAAGTGAGGTTAGTACAAAGATCTGATCTGATTCGCGTCGGGAGCGCCTAAGTGGATTGTCGTGCGGCTGTACAAGGAAAGCACGCGGAGGCCGGCCAACCTGCTCTCTGAAGGAGCAGCCAGTAAAGACCAGGCTTTGCCAGCCCCACAGTCACTGTTGTGACTACTGAGCTCCGTAGCACGAAAGCAGTTGGATAACATGTAAACGAGTGAACGGAGGTTCCAATAAAACCAGGCACAGAAACAGGTGGCGGGCTGGATTTGGCTAGTGGGACAGTCTGCCACCCCCCTCCCTCCCCCCATTTAACTGAGAAAGCCAAGTCCAGAGCAGTCTACGGAGTATGCCACCATTTTTACGGGGTTCTGGGAGAAGACGGGAACACATGTCTCTCTCTGCACGTGCTTGGATCTGCACACCGTTCCATGTCAGGCGTACACTAGGACGGGCTCCTGTGGTTGCAGTGGAACTCTGCAAGAGGTGTTCTGGCCTCTTCCCTAGAAGCTGCTGTGATGCCAGCCGCCCTTAGGAAGGACACTTAGGTAACTGGGACAGCGGAGACCTTGACCTTTATATGGAAATACATGCAAATATGTTACTGGTCACGAAATCAAAATGTGTATTTTTAAAAATAACAGATGGGGGGCTGGTGAGATGGCTCAGTGGTCTAAAGCACCTACTTAGAACAAGCTAAGCAAAGCACAGGGACTGCGGTTCAATCCCCCAGCACCACATGCCAGCCAGCACCGCCCCCTGGTGGGCTGAGCTGGCCACACACACACACAAATACACACACACACATAAATAAATAAAAAATTTAAAAATAACAGATGGAAGACTTAAGTCTTTCCTAAGGTTTTCAGCAAAAGAATCTTAACTGCTAATTTGAAAAAATTATTACAGTTTTGCCACCATCCCACTCTTGCCCTTCAAAGTGAGCGCTTCCAAAAAGTTAACACGGAGGGTTGGGGAGGTGCTTGCTGACCTTAGGAACTCTTTAATTTAAAACGAACATTGCCAAATAGGAAGCAAGGGAAATAAAAGCAGTTAAAGGGTTCTTTTACAAATCTATAAATTGTAAGCCAGTAAGACCAGGAAAAGGAGACATTAATTTGCAGTCTGAGCAAAAGAAATTGGTCAGAGGGGCTGGGAGATGGCTCAGTAGAATAAGGGCTTGCCTGGCAAGCACAAGGTCCCGAGTTCAATCCCAGGTTCTGCCAAAAACAAAACATAAACCAAAAGAAATTGGTCAGGAGTTCATCACTTCTGAAGATGAGCGATGGACAGACTTCATTACGCCTTCTACTTGTTTATAAATGTTTCTTTTATTTAGGTGATGGGGACTGAACCCAGGCCCGTGCACACGCTAATCACATGCTTTCCTTCTCCACTTGTACATGAATTTGAAGTTTTAGATATATATAAAATGCAACATACTATTCTGGATTTGATCCTGGCACAGAAAAAGCCATGACGGGAAAATTGTTGAAATCCGAATAAGGTCTGGAACATTATTGCACCAATATCACTTTCTTAGTTTTGTTAAATGCACCATCATTTGTAAGATGTGAACATTAGGAGCTGAGTAAAGCATATATGGTAGTCTTCATACCATCTTTGCAAATTTTCAGCACATTTAAAACTATTTTAGCTGGGTTGGCATACCCCC